TTTATGGCCCTCGACTCCGTCTCGGTCCATAAACACGCAAAAAAAAAGAACTTGGCCAATATCCAGCCATCTTGACCTCACACTTGATCAATAACCCGTACATATTTCGAGGACTCAAATGTATGTAACTGCTGCGCGCGCGTTTCGGCGCGAGCCAGTTTTAGATTTGAATCTTCCATTATGACGACGCACGCTGAATCGTAGAACGACTTACTTTATCACTGGGAATAAAGAGAAACTTCTTCAAAAGAGATTTCAATCGAGCGTCCATAGAAGTGTTGATAATCAGTTAATCTTAAAGCTCAGTTTAATTTTCAGTTTCAAGCCTTTTATCATCACCGTGTGTCATAGTGGGTAAGTTCGTGTACTTTTCCATTATTTGTTTTGAATAATACGTATTGATAGCAGTTTCTTGACACAAATACCTTGGTTGATAAAATTCCATACTCTTATGCTATGGCAACGGCTTGTACAATACGGCTTTTCAAAATTTCCTAAAAGTAATCAGAAACCAAAGAGTGGAGTATAAAAGCATAAACATGTAAATCACGAAAAACTTTTGAAGACACCAGTGACCGACGAGTAATTTATATACTCGTCGGTCTTTCTTTAAATAGACGTCTTTAAACATTTTTAATAAGTTAACGATATCAGTTTTAATAATTTGTTCTTCTCGTAATATATAAAACAACATAAGCTGTCATGTGTCTTTAGTGGTACGCAATCACCACCAAAGAGTCTAAGAGATGCATTGGCCTAATACTTGCTCAGTGTGTGTTAGACCAAGTGTGCCTAACACACACTTATCGAGTCGGTTGCCTCTATGCATGATTGGACAGACTGTTACAATCTGTGCAACTGTTAATCATTTCTCTATACAGGTAACTGATGGATTCAGAACCTGAATATCCCAAGCAGGATTATTTCAACTTCTACCCAGCTTGCGGCACCGGCCACAATCAACAAACAGAAAACTGCGACTTGACACACAGTGCGCAGCAAAGTACTCTCTCCAATCACACGGGAGGGACTAAGCACACTACACAGCATCCGGGAACTCAGCAGTACACCCCGAAATATCAGGGAACAAATCAGCATTTCTCGCAACATCCGGGAACAAATCCCTTTTCCACTCAGGAAATTAAAACAACTCCTCACCTAGCCCAATACCCAGGAACCAGTCAACATTCAACACAGCATCCGGGAATTACTCAGTGCTTCACGCCTCATCTGGGACAATACCCATTTGGAAGAACCACTCATTATACGGGAGCTGGAAAATTTCCTGGACCTCCGCTTTATACGCCATTTCTGGGAACTGCTCAATATCCTGGAACTAGCAAACAGTTTGCAGAAAGAATGCCATACAATACAGGGTCACAATTTCAACAAACGGCAACTCAATTTAGCGATGGAACAGCATGCACCAGGGAAAACCCGAGCGGGCAGCTATTAGGAAACATTGGTACAAGCATCCTTGCTAACTTAAACAGCAAAGTCTTCGGAAACACAAGTGCTCAACCTCAAAATTTCAGCTCATTTCAATTTACTAGTCCAAACGTAGAGGAAAGCCAACTGGAGAGGCCACAAAACGTGAGTTTCTAATCAGTGATTTTTTTCTTTTTATTAAACCTCTAAAATGATTTAAGAGTCAAAAAACTACGCAGGGAATGAAGGGTGGAGAAAAAGCGTTGGAAATGTAGCGAGGGTTGGTTAAAAAGGGGCGACAAAGAATTAAGAACAAGAGAAAACAAAAACAAAAACAAAAATCATGATATAAACTATCTGTTTCTTTGAGGACCATGCAGTCATCGACTTTAAAGTATCTCCACAATGACGCACAACTGCCTATTTTTTTCATGAGTTACGTATTGGAAAATAATATGCCTGCAAGTTTTTCGACGATTGAATTGCTTTTGAACGAGCTGATAATATGCTGCGAACTACTGAGGGTTGGTAGTAATTTTGTTGCTATAAATATTCTATTGGATGGTCCAGATGACTTTTTTAATTCCCAAAAGTTTTCCACGTCTAATTTCTACTAAGAATATCATCACATTGCCAAGCAGAAAGTGATGAGAAAAACGAACGTCATCAACAGAGAGATATCGGTCTTGTTGTATTACCAAATTCTCAGAACCTAACATTGAACTATATGTGCGATAATCAGTAAGAGGAATCACTGTTTTAATCTTGAGGCTAAAATGATAACTCTAAAAATAATTTACAGTTTAGAACATGGCTTTGACGATGACCTTGAATTTACAGAATTTACCCGAAAGACAGAAACAACAGCCCGTCTTTGCCAATCATGAATTCGGCAAAACGGCGGAGAAGCTGGAGCCCAAACGAGAACAAACTCAGCTAACGGAAGAGAAAGAAGCGGAAGAATCCGCACAAAAGGAAAAAGAAAGAACTGATAAATCGATTGGCATAAAACATCTTATCACTAGTTATGCTAAAGCAAGGACACTTGTATCACTGTGCCGTTATTTTGATACACCACTGTTTGGAGATCTCCCAGGCAACGAAGCAGAAAAGACTATCATGAAAAATCTTGCTCACTTCTTGAAAGACGAAACAAACAAGATGAAATTTGTCAACTGCGGGGAAGAACAAGAAAAAACAACATTTCAAAATGAGGATCCGACAATGCAGGCTAGCCTTTCAGTAATCGCAGCTACCATAAGCGAGCTTGAAAAAAAGAAACGTAAACTTGAAGGGGACAAGAGAGAATTCGAAAATGTAGACAAGGTCGTGAAAGGTTTCACTGGCGAGCTGGAGGAGAACATTAAACAGGCAACAACATTGAAGACAGAAGTAGAGGCGCATAATGTTCGATTGGAAAGATTGAAGGAAAGGCAAAAGAACGAGCGAAAAAACAACGATTCCGAGCGCTCGCAGTTTCATAAAGAAATGGAGGAAATAAACAAAATTCACGTGCACAGTTTACAGGAAAACCTTCGCACGCTGCAGGAAAAGATTGGAGAGGAAACAAAAGGTTTTAACGACGTGAAAAGAGAATTAAAAAACCTGAAGGAAAGGAATGATAGTTTAAGAACACGCATTAAGGAAGCGGAGACGATAAACAACAATTTGAAGAAAATTCTTGCAAAATCAACAAAAGTGGGCAACACTGGAGGTCAGAATACGGGTAGTTTAAGCGTGAAGACGCATTATAACATTAATCAGTAATGAAAAAAAAAAAAAAAACCCATCGTGTCAAAGAATTACTTTAATTTTCTTTAATAATACATTCTTCAAGCCATTGTTGTTAGTTTGATTACGACTTCTGCGTTTAAGTTCAGTAGTTTACTTTGAACGCAACCCCGGCATATAAAAAAACCTCTTTGCGCTGACGTAACTTAAGTCTGTTGTATTCAATGCAATAAAATGAACTGCCATGTTCAAAATTACTGTTAAATTGAAAGGAACTGGCTTAAAATAGTAGTTTACTAAGATAGAGAAACACCAAAAATTTTGTTATAAACCACAAGGGAACAAGGATGGTTAAGGATGGAGAAGATTAACACGGATTACAAACGACAAACTTGAAAGGAGGATGA